CAGATTTGCTTTAGATAACGTTAGGTCCATCTATAACCTGTGTGGAAAATTTAACATCACCTCCTGACCCAGGCGAGTCCATCACGCCACAATATCCCCCCCTGCCCCTACCTCCCCCCTCCCCCCTCACCTCCCCCCACCGCTCGAAGTTCTACACACGACACGTTCTATACAAATAGGGAGTTTGATTTATTGGCATCGGCGTTGACAAATTTTCAGCCGGAGTTTAGGCTAGAAGAGGGGTGGGGGTGGTGGATAGTAGAGAGCTGATGCCGGTAGGAGCAATATAGATGTTGTTATACTGAGCTAGAGTAAAGAGTATCTAAGCTAGAAATGTACTCATATTAAGGTCGTTTCGCAGATTTTATACACACACATACAGAATTATCCCAGTGAATAAAACTTTTTAACGCCGGAAAATATTCTTACATTTTTTCTTCCTTTATTGGTCGAATGCTTTATTAAAAGTAACAAACTGTATTAACTGTATTTAAACTGGAATAGTTGTTGGACGTATTTTACAACGGCAAATACGCTATGAACATAGTATATATATATATATATATATATATATATATATATATATATATATATATATATATATATATATATATATATATATATATATATATATACACATACCACGTTTATTATAATTTATATTTAATGCACAATGCACACAGCTTATACATCTATATGTTTTGCTTCCATTTGGCTATTAATGTTTTTTTTTTGCTTTAGCTTTCTGTGTTGTGTAAAGAATTATACTTGTGTAAATTATCATCCTGTCTCCCTTAAACAATCTGAGCCCTAAACAATAGCCACTGGCTGACATATTGTCTCCCCTTCCTTCCAGCACTTTTGTCCACGCCCCTGACTGATTGCCAATGGTATCCACCTCGGGTCAACCCGGAAATATTTTCACCCCTTCCCCCTGTAGATCCCGGACAAAAGATCCATTGGCTTGTGGCAAGGATCTTTGACGGCCCGGGGAATACATCGTTCTATTGAGGCCAGTTTGCTGTAATCACGGCCTGAGTTATTGTGTTTTATTTATTCGCCAGCGATCGAAAGGTGGCGACATTCGATCTTTGGCTTTTGTTGATATTTTTTGTTGTTGATTTTTTTCGTTTGTCGTTGCCAAAGACTTGGTGTTGGGATAAATGTAAAGAAGAAAAAATAAACGAGCCTTTTTTTTGTACTTCAACCAATGCAAAAATTGTGTTTCTTTAACATTGTCTGTCCTTTAAAATAAGTTCTAGCAAGTATGGTAATATATAATTAAGAATATTTATTTAATGTCTTGATGGAAAAGCTATCATATTGTAACTGAATTTTAGCTTAGGATATTCAACATTTTAAAACTAACTTGAAGTTGGATTTTATGTGTACTAGAAAACATTGTCTCATGATGTTTGATTACGACATATAGATACTGATGGTTAAATTAGTTAATCCTTGGTGGTTTCTAGAACTACACATGAGCAATAATCTCTTTGTTAATTTTTTAAAGAAATATTTGAGATGAAAGCATAAGATGATTTTTTAAACCCAATTACATATTGGACAATGGACGAACCTGGTTAAATTTAGTTAATTGAGCCGTTTTTAATATCTACTATGTAAAATGTTCTCTTCTTCTATTTTCACCCTTTTTCTTTTTCAATATCTTTCCCAATTTGATGATAGCTTACTACTCTGTTCTCTTTCTCATTTGCATTAATCTTTCTCTCTCTGTAAACTACCTTTGTCTATCACAGACATTCATTAAAAGAAAATAAACGCCTTTTCTCAAACATGTATTTTAATTTACAACCTCTATATCACAAATCTCCCACTCAATCAAACTCGTACACTAAGTGATCAAAACATCTTAACTAATCTTTATCTAGCTAATCCATTCAGGCTAGATAATCCATTCAGGCTAGATAATCCATATAATCCAGCTTATCCACCCAGTTCGTGTAGTTGTTGATGTTTTCCTTGTTGAAATACGAACTGACTTGAAGCACAATAAACCTCTTGGTCGCCTCGTAGTCTAATTTTAAGATTAGTCAGCACATAATATATCAAGCAATGCATCATTTAATAATGGACAAGTCACATTTTAAAATACCGTATAATACATCATTAAAACGTATCACAAATACTAAAGATTAAATCAACATATCTACGGGAATTAAAAAAAATTAATTCACTAAAATTTAAGTAGAACAAATTGTGTCAACAAAACCAATTATAATTGGCATTTAAAGCTTGTAGGATTTTTAGTCATTTGAATGCCACGACAAATAAATATCACAATAAAAATAATTCTGATCTACAATTGAAAATTAATTGTACATTTTTATCAAATATTTCTTTTACACACGGTAAAAACAGCCTCATTCTTGTTTCCATTAAACAAAGCTGGCACAAGGGGAGAGAATAAAACCTTCATTGAATTGCTTCCCTTGGCGTTTTATGTGTAGGGGAATTAATTACTTGGTGAAGTTATCGCCGCTTGTTTTTAAAATAAAAACATAAAAAGACAGTTTCACAAAACATGAATATAGAAATAAATTTGAGCGCTGAGATTTTCTTTCACGACAAAGTAAATACATACAGCCTCTGACAAAATTTCTAGTCTGTTAAATACTTAAGCTATGGAATTTCTAGTGAGCATGTATGTTTATCCTACATACATTTCAGCTTTACTTTAAACATAAGTTTGAAATTAACGGAACGGATGTTATATGTATGTATTTATATGGAGGGGTGAGCGAACGATAACGGTATCGCGAGTTGGAATAAGGGACTTCCGAGAGTTCTGAATTCTACTTGTTCGCTTTTAATTTTAATGTTGGAGGAGTCTCGCTTCAACACAATAATTACTTGTCAACCATTTATGCGCCCTATAGGCCGTTGTCTTCGATTTCAGCCAGTTTTTTTTTTTTTTACTTTTGGATTTTGCTTCCATATACTGTGTCTATCCAAGAACAAACTACAAGGCAGCAGTTGCGTTGCTCTTCTAGAAGAGTGGCTGTCCCCAGCTAACGAGCCTCATCTGCCCGGGGGTTTGAACTCGGGACTTTTTGGTTTATCTAACACGCCGACCCTTTAACCGACTAAAGTAGGGATTAGCCGGTAGGGCAAATCACTCATAACATAATCATTTTTAAATTCGAGGTCTTAGATATGGCATTTGTCATGTTCTGAATCTAGCTTTATTGTAATTGGTATCAAATATTGGCAATAATTCGCAGTGTATTTCACAGATGTGCATGCAAATTGCTGAACATTTGATTATGAAAAACAGGGAAACTTAAGTTAAATGCGATTTATGATTACACTAGAGGAATTACTACAAAAACCATCTGGAATTCACAAAATAAAGTTGTATGTAATGTGTTAACATATAATCATAAATAATCCACATATGTAGTTGACGTATGAAAACGTTTTCCAAATATGGACACAATATTTGGCACATAGGAGAAATGCGCTCAGATGTAGGCCTACATGTTAACAAAAATGGCAAAAGTGACAATAATACAGATGTACAGAGAAATGATCATGCAATTTTTAAAAGAGCTACTGTCCTCTTTCTCTTGAAGAAAGAATCTAATAGGGTAGAGTTTATATGTCTTTTCATACGGCTAGCCTCTGCCAGAAAGTTTCACATGTATGTTGTATCTTCCACGGGGTAGAATCTACCCAGGCAAACATAATGATCATAAACTGTAACGTTATGACGCACTATATGTCAGCTTAACACACGATCATTAATCTAACTTAGAGCATTCACAATATGTTCGTTTCAAATAGTTTGTCAACAATCAACGCCATACCATATGTACACGGTCGAACTGTTTTAATTGATTTTACAAGCTATGATAGCTTGTTACTTTCTTCAGTAAAATATGCTGTGTGTTAATCAATTGATCCTCACCTTAAAGGTGATCAATATATTAACTTTACACAATATATTCTTGATTTAACTAAACCATTAATTAAAACAGAAATATGCAATAGCTGAATGATTTCAACACGATGGTATACCCATGATATTGGATTAAAGCTTTCCACAGGCTAAAAATAAAATTGAATGTACGATCAACAGACAAGTCACCGAATACCAATTAAGGTAATTATTGACTGAATTGTACTTATTCACAGTAGTCGGCTAAGAATTAATGACCATGATGATAATTAAAACTGTGTTTAGCTTCAAACATAAGCGTAGAGTTCAATCGATGATTCATTTGTACCGATCAATACGTTTAAGGTAGTGATTAGTTTTGTTTAGGAGTGTATCGATATATTGAACATTTCCAAGCTGATAGACTGATGATTCCTAAACCGGACAAAATATTAATTCAAATTTGGATGACATATTTTAGCTTTCTAAACATACTATGGATACGCTTATAATTCCTTGCATAATGAAATATATTCATAATGTTTTATAGTAAAAGTATGACTTACTGTGCAGTTACGTAAGAAAACTATTTCACCGTCCTTTCAAATGACAAGCAAGCACACAATAAACTAGCATGTTCTGACAATCCAGTGTAAGCTAGGTTGTGGCCTGTTTATCATTTACAATATTAACATTTACATGGCAAAGTAATCAACCTAGACAACTTGTTATCAAAGACGCTGTTTCATTCAAACTGTGATTTCCAAAATAAGTAGTAATCGGGAATATCTATCTATGTGAAATGAAATCCAAACACAATTTTATTTCTTTGTTGTCGGCTGGATACTAGAAAAATTGTTTTTTTTTAATTGTAATTAACAGCAAACATTTTAGTGATTAGATAATCTAAGCTGGATTAGCAAGGCTTAAATCTAACGGCCACACTGCATCTCACCGAAATAAGCTTTCCAGCAACATCAACTCAATTGGACTAGTAACAACAGCAACACCAATTTACTAGGATCTTGCGTTTGTTGCTGAGCACGTTTATTTTAAAAAGTTAAATCTTAACGTCTCAAATTTTATTTACAATTGATTTTCCAATATATATATGTGAAGAATGAAATATTTATTTTTTAAAATAATTTTCCTATATATGTCTGTAACGCTGTGTGATTGAGAATGAAATATTTATTATTTCCATAATTTTTCTATATCTAAGTGTAAAGCTTTGTTATTTAAAATAAATACGACGCATGATTTGTACAGTTATTTTTTAGCACCGACGTCCTTTCTCTCCATTGTGTAGACGTCGCAGTGAATAAATTCCAATTATTCTATTGGTCACAAAATCCGCAGAACGAGATGGCCAAAACATGACGTCATTGTTATGATCCATAGAGCGTTGTTCAACTTCCGGCCGCCATTACCATCAGCACTGACGATGTTCTTACCTTCTGAAATACAGATTTTTTTTTTTAAACTGAAATACAGATTTAGCGTTATGAATATATCGTGTATAGTTACACGTTTATGTATGTTTCAAAACAATTTTAACCAGATCGAAAATTATACTCAGTGCAGGGGCGGAACTAACATACCGCTAGACCAAGCAACAAACGGTGTGGGGGGGGGGGAAAGACCGGTTAGGGGGCCCAAAACCCGTTAAACGTTTTTTGCACCTTGATAAACTAGCAGTTTTGATAAAAAAAAACAATATATCTACTGTATCAGTAACTAACACACACTAATGCGTAGAAAAATAAAACTTGAGATGTAGCGTGAAAGATAGACAAATCTTTAAACCACTTCCATGACGTATTGCTCCTGTGTAAATAGTCTAATAAAGGTGCCGATAGAGTTCATTTAAATAGTTTTGTACTAAACAAAGGCTAATTTATTTTCTTAATCTATATATATAATTCTCTTCTGGGATCAGTTAGAAAACAAGCTGCAAGCGCCTCCTGGCAGTCCCCTCTTTCTCTCTATCACTATCACTACCACCCCCCACCCCACCCCCACATTGTCTGGTGAGCTGTGCTCACGCTGTTTACATTTTACAATCACAGAGACGGGTTTGGTGACGGCTATTAGGGGCAGATAATTTAGTTTGAAACGATTTTAAACTTACAGGAGGTAACTAAGAGAAAGCTGCTTTCACGGGGGGGGGGGGGGGGGGGGGGGGGTAAGGGGGGTTTAGTGTTTTAAAGCAAATATTTTCAGTGGCAGCATTGGTACTGTCGAATTCACAAATTATGAATTACTGAAAAGTAGAAAAAACAACAACTAATTAGCGGGGTATGATATGCCGCGGGTCGGCTCGTTATTATTAAAATAATGCACATTAAAGAATGACAAAGAGCATTGGACTAAGTACAAAACTACCACATCACAAAAGATGGCACCTAATTTATTCCATAAACGGAAACCATTAAATACAAAACCAGCACGTCACACACACAATACCACTCACTTCTGTACGGGGTTGTCGGGTAATGCTGATGCTCTTGACCCCCGTGACCTTGGTACCTAGAGTAATCCTTCCCTATAGGGGTCGGCTTGACCGTGTCGTACTTGAACTCGTCTCCGTCGTACATGCTGTGTTGTTTGGGGGTTTTCCCGGGCATAAATAGACTCAAGGTCGTTTGAACGGCCTCGGTTGACGTCACTGTGGTGGGGTATTTTTTCACGTACTCTGAAATAGAGAGGGAACGAGAGTAATGGAAACAATAATGTGATTTTGGGGCGTTTTCTATTTTCATATTTTTTGCATATTTTTGTTATATATATTTTTTTCTGTAAATGTCTTTGGCAGAAATCGAAACTCTGTCAATGATTTTTATCGAGTTTTTTATTGGCTGCACATTTTGTGAATTACAAAAAAAATGGTGTGTGTTATTCTTGTAGAATGTGCAGTGATCTATGTGATGGACATGTGTATGCTGGCGTCCCGTGGCTGTGTGTTTGCTTCATAGGTTTTTTTGTGTGTTAAACGTTATCTTTATGTGTGTCTGAGATGTGTTTATTCTCTATGGTTGGTATGATTTCTTTATGTTGGTAATATACACATAAACTAGCCATCATTTCAAAAATAAAAAATAAAATCATATAGCTAGTCTATATATAATGTAAGTTTTAATAATTGTTTATATCAGCATACAATGTAAAATGTTCAACTCTCCATTTCAAATATTTATTTCATTATATTCAATGTTTATTTCACCATTTATAAAATTCACCTTACCTCTCAATAATTCAACTCAACATACAGTACCTACACGTTTCAAGCCTCCAAAAAAATGTTCAACTCACTACATCAAAACTATATTATTAATATAAAATTCAACTCACTTATTACAAGTTTCACCTCACCAAATGAAATTTCAACTCACCACACGTAAAATCGCGCTAACTTAAAAAAGGTTCAGTTCACCATGTCAAACTTGTACTCACCATATAAATACATTGTCTCCTCGTCCGTCCCCTTCATGTTCTCAGCCGTGCACGTATAGGCCCCGAAATCAGATTTCTCAATGTTGTAGACTCGCAAGCTTAGCGTAAACCTGGTCTTTAACACTTCATCTGGGTACACGTCCAGTCTACAGGTAAGATGGTGAGGGGGGGGGGGGGGTGGGGGGGAGGGGGAATGTTAGATCAAGGTACATGTGCACAATGTATAGAATATTTTACAAACTTCTCAAATGGCGATGGGGGTGGGATCAATTTAACCCTTACTGTTTAAATTAAGTAATAGTATTGCCATATTTCTCCCAACACTTTAACTATTTTTAAACAATATTTTACCTGTACTTTTTCGATTTAAAAAATAAGGCAATTTTTACTCCATAGCGTTAGCAATATTGTTAACAATTATTTATCTTTATTTTTTTCGATGATCTAAACATATTGCAACGTTTATTCCAAAACGTTAATTTGTTTGTTAACAATAGTTAACCTGTATTTCTTCGATGATGTGATAATATCACATTCCCTATCACAAAGCGTTAACATACTTTGTTGTTAACAATTATTTACCTATACTTTTTCGATGATGTAAAAATATCACCATCTCTATCTCAAAACGTTAACATATTTGTAAACAATAATTTACCTGTACTTTTTCGATGATGTAATAATATTGCCGTCTTTACTCCAAAAGGTGTTGGGCACAGGTAAGCCCGAAACGTTACAGTCTAGAATGGTCTCCTTCCCCACATCCTGCCCGATCCTCCTGTTGGGCAGGTAAATCTCTGGGGGGACTAGACAAATGTGACGTGTTTAATATCAATTATATTGCTTGTATTCGTTTGATGTAAATACATTGAAACACACTCCCAGTAGAGTATGTTAAGACTTCTAATAAAATACTGTACATAAACCTACTAGCACTGGCTGTATTAACTAATTATTCGTACATACACTGTATATAAACCAACTCACCATATATTATAGACTATATATAAAACTTCTGATTATAGAGTGTAAACCTACTCACACAGACTAACATAAACCAACTGAATACACTGTAAACCCACTCACATAGTCCTACATAAGCCTACTGACTATAGACTGTAAACCTACTTACACATAGTGTATATAAACGTATTGAGGACATACATTAAACCTCATACAAACAATACTAAAACCTACCAACTAAACAGTAAACCTACTAACTAGAACGTAAACCTACCAACTAGACCGTAAACCTACCAACATACTATACACAAACCTACCAACTAAACAGTAAACCTACCAACATACTATACACAAACCTACCAACTAGACCGTAAACCTACCAACCAGACCTTAAACCTACCAACCAGACATTAAACCTACCAACCAGACCTTAATCCTACCAACCAGACCTAAACCTACCAACTAGACCATAAACCTACCAACTAGACCGTAAACCTACTCACACTTATTATACACAAACCTACCAACTAGACAGTACACCTACCAACTATACCGTAAACCTACCAACTAAACCGTAAAACTAGCAACTAGAGAGTAAACCTACCAACTATACCGTAAACCTACCAACTAGACAGTAAACCTACCAACTAGACCGTAAACCTACCGACTAGACCGTAAACCTACCGACTAGACATCAAACCTACTCACACTTATTATACACAAACCTACCAACTAAACAGTAAACCTACCAACATACTATACACAACCCTACCAACTAGACCGTAAACCTACCAACTAGACCGTAAACCTACCAACTAGACCGTAGACCTACCAACTAGACCGTAAACCTACCAACTAGACATTAAACCTACTCACACATATTATACATAAACCTACCAACTAGACATGAACCCACCAACTAGACAGTAAACCTACCGACTAGACCGTAAACCTACCAAATAGACCGTAAACCTACCAACTAGACCGTAAACCTACCAACTATACTGTAAACCTACCAACTAGACATCAAACCTACTCACACTGTACTGAAACCTCTATGATCCTGCTCGCTGCTGGGTTGACCTCGTTGAAGGCGATACACTCGTAGCTGTCGCCACAGTAGCGGGTGACGTTGTGGATGACGAGTACCTCACCGCTCATGCCCAGTTCTACGTCACGGTTGGGTGAGAGGGGAGGGAAGCAACTCAATTAAATCAAGTAGGAAGTAAAGCTTGGGATCATTGTGTTGAATTACTTTATGTGGTCCTATATACTTGTGGGCGTGTGTTTATGTGCCAATTTAAAAGAATTTAGACGTGCTAATTAACATGTATAGGCCTATTAATAGTCGAATTATATATTAACACACACACACACACATATATATATATATATATATATATATATATATATATATATATATATATATATATATATATATATATATATATATATACGCACATATACATGTATTTATGTATGCACGTGTATATATATATACATATATGAATATATGTAGATGTATATATGTATATATATATTATGTATATGCATGTATATATATGTGTGTATATATATGCAAGTATATATATATATATATATATATATATATATATATATATATATATATATATATGTATATATATATATAAATATATGTATATATATATATATGTATATATATATATATGTATATATATATATATGTATATATATATATATATATATATGTATATATATATATATGTATATATATGTATGTATATATATCTGTATTTATATATATATATATGTATATATATATGTATATATATATATATATATGTATATATATATGTATATATATATGTATATATATATATATATATATATATATATATATATATATATATATATATACGATGTATGTATCTACATATATATATATGTATATATGTATATATGTATATATATATATAATGCATATCTACATATATATGTATATATGTATATATAAGGCATATGTACACATACACACACACATATATATATATATATATATATATATATATATATATATATATATATATATATATATATATATATATATATATATATATATATATATATATATATATATATATATATATATATAAATAATGCCTAGTAATTTTTTATGACATAATAAATTTCCATTTAAATAATTTAACATAAGAAACACTTGTAGCAAGTTGTGCGATAATTACAGAAAAAAAAAAAACAACATGCGCGACAACTCAAAGCCGCCACGTCACAACATCCATGTCAACAGTTTTATGTCGCAAACGTGTGCTGGCCTCACGCCGTAACGGTCAGGTGACATTTCCAGCGTGTCGCTGCAGCTATTCTAGCCGCGGCTAGTATTAGCTGAATAGTGGGGTAATTGTCGAGGCAATGACTTAGGTAATTTTAGGACGCGACCTCTAAAGCACTATATATATATATATATATATATATATATATATATATATATATATATATATATATATATATATATATATATATATATATATATATATATATATATATATATATATATATATATATATATCGTTTAGCACGTACAAATATAAATTTATAAATTTCTCACGTCACATTCTGGTGTTTTCAACACTTACTTTCATATAACTGACAGGCAAATATTAATATTGCTAATTATATCAGACACGTATGTTTCGGTACTTAGACGTACCGAAAAAAAATACCTTAACAAGACACTGCAATACAGGAATGAAATGATATATTCAATACAATCTTATCTCTAAGACTTCTCCAACATATATTCATGTATACAATTCTCCGACATATAAGACTCCTCCTATATAAAATGTGTCCACATATACAATAGTACACAAGATACATTACAAAACACATTAACATACAAGACAAACCTATATACAAGACACCACACCTTCCAAGTTGCTTCACAAAACTATCAGATATATTATTCATTAATTTAATATAAAAGATTCGAATTAATTAATACACATTATATATTCAAGACTCTCCACAATACACGATGCCCCATTAAATAATTCTTAATAAAATAGACGATACAATAAACAGACACTCCAGTATTTAAAGCACATTTTGAATACAAAACACAATGATATGCAAGGCTCACGAGACTTAAGACACACATACACACACATGGGACTTGAAATACACGCAATAATTTGAATAAAACGCTGAATGACACAGTTCGCCTTAGCCTTTACAATTTCCTGTTCGTGGTTTACCTATTTATTCACAATACCTAACCGTTTGATTATCTATTAAATGCATCGATCGATAATGTTAATATGGGTGTGTTCTTTCGTGTGTTAGTTTTTTGTCTTTGTAATATTCCTTGTTAGGTTATATTTTATTATTTATATATTTATCCACATTCAAATGTGTTCTCTGCAAAGTTTATGTGTGTTTAGTTCATAGTAAGGATCAGACTAATTTTGCTATGATCCATTGTAGGATTTAGTGTTTGGTTCATAGTAGGGATAAGACTAATTCTGAGATCCAGTGTAGGGTTTAGTGTTTGGTTTATGGTTGACTAGCATTGTAGTAGAGTGTTAAATGTAAACTTCACAATGTTTTATGAAAAATGATCTGGGCATGACAAAAACACACTGGCAAACGGTCAGAGGCGAAGAGATCTGGGTATACTGGAGTGAAACGAGCACAAGATCAAGACACATTTGAAGACAACGTACGCACACATTTACAACACACAGCAATGTACAACATCATTACGCTGCGTGTGCGTGTGTATCACGTGATCAAACAAAGTGAAGAAAGAAAAAAAAAAAATGAACATGCCTTGCAAAACACACGAACAACGGACAACATAGAAAGTTTTCGTTTGTTTTTATGATCACTTCTTGGGATGTTACACCACATACTTTGTCATCACTGGACCCAGTGACCTTGGTCATGCTTGTCTGGCGTAGTTATAGACTGTAGACGTAAACTCTGAACGGGTCACATTGTTTACTTATTTGAGATTAGGGGGAGCTGGTCACATTTTACAGTTCGTTTCAGAACATAAGGTTACATGTGGTTTACGATATATTTTTCTATAGTTTGCTTTATAATGATGTGGCCTATCCCTTGCGGTAGTTTAATAAAAAAATGTTAATAATCTTGACGTCAGGAACCAGGGCTGGAAACTGATGAAAGGGGTGGGATATTATTCATTGAAACGTAATGCAAAACGGGGATTAGGTGGTCTATGAACATAATATAGAAAGTTTTATGAAGTAAAGAAAAAAAAAGTAATTTTAATGTAAACTTTAGGTACTTTACACTAGTATCCGGAAACTTTTCTAAAATTGTTGCATAAATTTACAAGGCGTTGCCCAGGTATCATTAAGAATTTTACCGGAAGTATTAGAAATTTGGGTTTAAATTTAAATTGCAGTCTTTTACATAATTTTATATTTTAATTTTAATACATGTTTTATAATATTTGTTTTTCAAATACACTTGTTTTATTATTGAAAATACCTAATACGGTCTTGTGGTAAAATATGCATTAAAATATTTACCCTTAAAGGTATTTGTTTATAAATTGGAAAAAAAACAACATTATTTAGATGTAGTTTCAGCAAAAAACTTTCACTGCTACTTTGATTTGTTGAAAGTTGTTGGACATTAGTTGAAATTCAGTTGAAAATTTGTTGAAAATTAGTTGAAAATTAGTTGAAAATTGGTTGAAAATTAGTTGAAAATTAGTTGAAAATTAGTTGAAAATTAGTTGAGAATTAGTTGAGAATAAGTTGGATATTTCTTGTCAGGCGTACGTTTGACGTTTGTTGTTACGACTCTAGAAAAAAGCCCACACAAGCCCGAAGTTGCAGATGTACAACAAACAAACCGGAAGTTGCCGACACACAACACAAACACAAGGCCAAGAAACACGTGTAGGGTCGAGGCGTGTAGACAACATGGCGCAAAAAAACGCTCAATACAAATGACGTCATCTCTTACTATCGATGCCCGGGCACAACTCACTCTGTTTCTGGACACCCCCGTTGGCAGCGGGCACCAGGCGGAACCAGTCGACTTTGGGGGTGGGGGTGCCGGTGACGTTACAGACCAGGGTCACGGTGTCCCCCTCGTGCACCACCATGTTGGAGCTGGAGAGGTGGTCGATGATCTGGGCTGGCACTGCGGAGGGTAGAGGGTTGAGTTTAGTGGGGGGTGGGGAAAGTTTAGTGGGGGGTGGGGGAAGTTTTGTAGGGGATAGAGGGTAGAGTTTAGTGGGGGGTGGGGAAAGTTTAGTGGGGGGTGGGGGAAGTTTTGTAGGGGATAGAGGGTAGAGTTTAGTGGGGGGTGGGGGAAGTTTAGTGGGGGTGGGGGGGTTTAGTGGGGGGGTGGGGAGTTTAGTGGGGGGTGGGGGAAGTTTTGTGGGGGGCGGGGGAAGTTTTGTGGGAGGTGGAGGGTGGTCGATGATCTGAGCTGGCACTGTGGAGGGTAGAGGGTAGAGTTTAGTGGGGGGTGGGGGAAGTTTAGTGGGGGGTGGGGAAGTTTAGTGGGGGGTGGGGGAAGTTTAGTGGGGGGTGGGGGAAGTTTAGTGGGGGGTGGGGGAGTTTTGTGGGGGGGGGGATTTTGTGAGGTGGTGGGAGGTGGTCGAGGGTCTGGGCTGGCACTGTGGAGGGTAGAGGGTAGAGTTTAGTGGGGGGGGGGTGGGGGAAGTTTAGTGGGGGGTGGGGGAAGTTTAGTGGGGGGTGGGGGAAGTTTAGTGGGGGGTGGGGGAAGTTTAGTGGGGGGTGGGGGAAGTTTAGTGGGGGGTGGGGGAGTTTTGTGGGGGGGGGGGATTTTGTGAGGTGGTGGGAGGTGGTCGAGGGTCTGGGCTGGCACTGTGGAGAGTAGAGGATAGAGTTTAGTGGGGGTGGGGGAAGTTTAGTGGGGGGTGGGGGAAGTTTAGTGGGGGGTGGGGGAAGTTTAGTGGGGGGTGGGGGAAGTTTTGTGGGGGGTGGGGGAAGTTTAGTGGGGGGTGGGGGAGTTTTGTGGGGGGGGGGGATTTTGTGAGGTGGTGGGAGGTGGTCGAGGGTCTGGGCTGGCACTGTGGAGAGTAGAGGATAGAGTTTAGTGGGGGTGGGGGTGGGGGAGTTTAGTAGGGGGTGGGGGAAGTTTAGTGGGGGGTGGGGGAAGTTTAGTGGGGGGTGGGGGAAGTTTAGTGGGGGGTGGGGGAGTTTTGTGGGGGGGGGATTTTGTGAGGTGGTGGGAGGTGGTCGAGGGTCTGGGCTGGCACTGTGGAGAGTAGAGGATAGAGTTTAGTGGGGGTGGGGGAAGTTTAGTGGGGGGTGGGGGAAGTTTAGTGGGGGGTGGGGGAAGTTTAGTGGGGAGTGGGGGAAGTTTAGTGGGGGGTGGGGGAAGTTTAGTGGGGGGTGGGGGAAGTTTAGTGGGGGGTGGGGGAAGTTTAGTGGGGGGTGGGGGAGTTTTGTGGGGGGGGGGGGATTTTGTGAGGTGGTGGGAGGTGGTCGAGGGTCTGGGCTGGCACTGTGGAGAGTAGAGGATAGAGTTTAGTGGGGGTGGGGGTGGGGGAGTTTAGTGGGGGGTGGGGGAAGTTTAGTGGTGGTGCTGGAGGTGGTCGATGATCCAGGCTGGCACTGCAGAGAGGAGAGGGAAGAGTTTAGTGGGGGGGAGGTGGGGGAAGCTTAGTGGGGGTGGGGTAGGTGGTCGATGATCTGGGCTGGCACTGTGGAGGGTAGAGGGTAGAGTTTAGTGGGGGGTGGGGGTGGGGTAAGTTTTGTGGGGGATGGGGGAGTTTAGTGGGGGTGGGGGAAGTTTAGTGGGGGGAGGTGCACTGTGGAGGGTAGAGAGTAGAGTTTAGTAGGGGGTGGGGGAGTTTAGTAGGGGATGGGGAGAGGTGGTCGAGGGTCTGGCACTGTGAAGAGTAGAGGGTAGAGTTTAGTAGGAGTGGGGGAAGTGTAGTGAGGGTGGGGAAGGTTGTTGATGATATGGGCTGGTAATGTTGAGGGTTGAGAGCAGTGGGGAGTGATGGAATTTCAGTGGGGGTAGAGGAAAATATAGTAGGGGGTGGGGGGGGAGGTGGTCTCACTGTGGAGTGTAAAGAGTAGAGTTTAGTAGGGTTGTAGAAGTTTAGTGGGGGTTTGAGGGGGGGGGGTACAGCTGGTCGAACATCAGGACTGGCACTGTGGAAGGGAAAGACTAGTTTAGTGAGCATGGAGTTAAGTGAAAAGAACGTTTATTCGGGAGGGGGGTGGTGGTTAAACAAGGCTTATCTGCGTATTAGTCTATGTACCGAACATGATATCCTAGCTGGTTAGAATTAGAACCCTCAACAAAACCCCAGAGTAGCGATTTATTAATGTGCCCTCTACCACTCAACCAGGGCATCTTATATTTATATCGAACCCAATCTTCATGTACATGTCATATAAGCTCTCTAATTCCTAATGTTTTTGTCAATGTATTCCAAACTACAGAGACGGAGAGGCCTAGCGGTAGAGAGCTAGACTGCTAAGTAACTCTCCGGGTTCAAGTCAGTAGACCGTCCCTGAGTCAGCCCAGCTCTGATGGGTTCCTAACTCACGTTAGTGTAAGTAAAGGCGGCTGGACATAATGCTTACTACACTATTCCTTCATTTGCCGAGGTCACAGAAACAAGTGAACTCTACTTGCCCCGTATGCCATTAGGTTTGAAAGGGAACTTTACTATTCCTAACTATTATCAGAGAAAGTAGATACTCTAGTGGTGGACAGGGGTGGATTAAGCGTGGGTGGAGTCTTTTGCTGCTAACCTCTCAGCCCTATCCTTAATCCGCCAGTGATGATGGTGATGATGATTAGAGGATTGTTTTAATTTGCCATTTCAAAATTCATTTACTTACCATAATCTCAAATACTGTTAAATTTTAAACACGGGATGTAGGGTGTAGGTTACTGATTGTGTTTTTGTTTAATTAGATATCAAACAATATAAAACATTAAGGTAGCACTGAGTTTTTTTTTAAATATTCCAGCCTACAGTAAATTTATTCTTTGATTACAGTCTTTGAATGCATTGAGTATTCTTATGTTTCTACTTGGAAGACTTCAATACTCTAACAACCAATTCTACTACCAACGAACGCTAAAACAATCGATGCATGAAGTACAATAATGTCACATCTAACTCCCTATTACATTTAAATTACTCAGTCCTCGAGGATAATAACCAACAACGTTCCCTTCGTTTGCTTCTTGACGCTACAAAATTACCGCCCCTTAACAATTCAGGGGCGAGCACTCCCAGCCGATGTAATTATTTGCTTGTCGTATTTCACTATCTACTAATTTCGCTCCCTTGTCTGGCACGTGTTAGGGACTATGTCTAATTTATCTCTATCCCTGTTGTTCCTCCCCCCCCACCCCTTGACCTCACCCCCCGTCCCCTCCCCGCTTGCTCGCAAGATCTTTTTATTTGCCGTAAATTTCTCGTAGCGTACCCACGAGGATTAGAACTTAATTGAAACCGTTTTCTTTATGATTGTACCTTTTGCCCATTCTCTCCTCGGCTTAAACTCTTCATCAACTTCCAGTAATTGTAACCTTACGATAGCATTTGTTCAATGTAACATTAAGTGAAAAAAAAAACTAAATACAAAAAAAAAACATCTGAAACACTGGCTCCGCAGTGTTACCAAACATGGCCTATATAAACTTTTATCTGTAAACAAGATGATTTCTCTATAAAATAACTTGATCCTAATCCTTCAACTCATTTTTAAAGTGCATATTTGTCAAGACAATTTTATTTGAAACTATGTGTAGTAATACAGTAAATAATTGAAGTTTAAGTACATTATGTGCAAAAAAACACGGTACTATGTAATTTTGTAAGGTAAGTTCATTCATAAGGTTATTCTGGTTTTTTGATGTGATGATTAATGCTTATGTATTCTCAAATCTCTGCTTAAAAGTGATAGTAGGAAGCAGACATTTTTAAACACGATTTAACGCGACACTATATAGACAGCTTGTTGATAGCTGGTTGATAGACAGCACAAATGATTACATACTTGTTTTATAAAAGACTCTTTAATTATTGAACCTTATTGTTGCAAACCGGCTGTTTCAATATGATCCCAGTAAACTTAACCGGCCGTAATTATTTTTTTTTAGTTTACCAAACCGGCTTTTCCATCAACACGACACGCACGGCTGTTACATCAACCAAACGACACGCACGGCTGTTACATCAACCAAACGACACACCCGGCTGTTACATCAACCAAACGACACTCACGACTGTTCCATCAACCAAACGACACACACGACTGTTCCATCAACCGACTCGACACACGGCTGTTCTATCAACCGACACGACTCACACGGCTGTTCCATCAACCAAACGACACACACGACTGTTCGATCAACCAAAGTACACATGCGGCTGTTCCGTCAACCGATATTACACACACGGCTGTTCGATAAACCAACACGACAGACACGGCTTTTCCATCTTTCAAACGACACACACGTTGTTTTGTCAACTTAGTTTATCTTACCAGCTTTTGTATCAATCGAACATCACATACGGCTGTTCCATCAACCAAACTACATACACGACTGTTCTATCAGTCAAACGACACATACAGCTGTTCCATCAACCAATCGACACACACGGCTGTTCTATCAATGAAACGGCTGTTTCGTTAACCTAGTGTATCTAACCAGCTGTTCCATTAACCAACACTACACACACGACTGTTCTATCAATCAAACGACAAATACGGCTGTTCCATCAACCTAGTTTATCTAACCAGCTGTTCCATCAACCAATACGACACACACGGCTGTTCCATCAACCATTTCGGCGTGAAACAGATAGTACAACTCAACCAAAAAACTAATTTTGCCTGTATCCAGTCAGTCCCTCTAATTTCCTTCCCATGCATAAATTAATCCTGTCCAGTAGAAATTTGCAAATAGACCCGACTGTTAAAAAGTTCACCCAACTCTAGACACCTTTTTAATGAAGTAATTACAAGTTAATTAGTACGAAATGAGGAGCCTGCTTGCAAAACCTGCTAAGTCACTTATGACTGATTTTGAGGAAATTGACTTCAAAACGTTTTTCTTGTTAACTCACCTAGTGTCTTCTTCTGTTTTTTAACTTTCGATGTCAACAAATTTATTTTATTAAATAGAGTCTCCCA